ACCGGCTACGAAATATGAAAAGAGAGCTTGTTGAGTGTTTTGTGCTGAATTAAAAAAAAAAAAGAGCAGCAACAGGGTGTACTCTTTCTCTCTCCTTGCGGATTGAGTGTATTAACGTGTGGACCCTCTCTCTTTCACCACCCCGACGGCGGTTTCGGACGTCGCCCAAGCTTTCAACGGCGCCTGGGTGGCGCACTTCTGGACCCCGTCTCCCCTCGCCTCGACAGTTTCGGACGTCGCCCACGCTTTCATCGGCGCCTGGGTGACGTGCTTCGCGACCCTTTCCGTCCTCTTCCCTCGCCTCGGCAACAGCTTCGGACGTCGCCCACGCTTTCATCGGTGCCTGGGCGCACTTCTGGACCCTGCCTGGCCTCTCCTCTAACCGCGGCTCACGGTTCGCCTCAACGACGGCTTCGGACGTCGCCCCGTCTGACCCCGTCTGACCCCGTCTGACCCCGTCTGGCCTCTCCCCTGTCCACGGCTCCTTCCTCCCGGGGATACTGCTCCTGCCTCCCGGGGATACTGCTCCTTCCTCCCGAGGACTTTGTGCTCGCCGCCCGCTGTGCCTGCGGCCGGGCAGCGCTCCTTCCTGCTGGGGACCATCAGGGTATTCACGCCCGTTGCAGCACAGCGACCCAGCTTTCTACGGTTGGCGGATGTTGTTTTCATTCGCCTCGACGCCTACCGCGGCCCGCCCCCCACCCCCGGTGGGGATGCCCTCGTTGGGGCCCCTGCCTGCTCCTGCGGCCCCCTTCCGACGGCCCGTTCCATGGCCCGGCCCTCGCCTGCGGCCCCACCCTCCTCGGCCCCTGTGGTGCTTCCTCCCGGACGCGAGGATTGTGTCCATGGTTGAATTCTGGGGGGGCTTGTGTAGTGATCACTGATAGACATAATTCACTCATGGAACTACGAGTTGGGGGTATTGTTCCGCACGGACACATATGTTGACTGTACCTACTGTGTGCCCTCCTTTTCTTCTTCCCTTCTCTTCCCGGGCTTCAAGCCGACAACATGTGTGTTTCTGATGCTCATTAAAGCTAACTTTGTACCTTCGATGCACCGCCTCCGACTCCCGTCTTTCGGCACAACCCAGTGTCTCGGCATTTAATCTATTGATTCGTGTTCACCAACACGATTTTCCCCTTTTTTCGTGTCACACAGAACGATTTTAAAAGCAATGTATTTCTATTGGTAGTATGTTTCGTGCCTGCAGCACGTCTTTTTGTCCGTTCGGGTCTTGGAAGACCGGAAGCTGTGGGGTTCCTAAAAACATGTTCTTACTCAATATCAAGCCACGATTATTGTTTTTATTTTAAATCGTATAATGTCGGACATTTTTTGTCGTCTGTGAGGAAAAGAAATGGGGCTCAGAGCCTCAGAATACTGAAATCTGTATTTTTTTCAAACTTTTTTTCCTTGTAATTTGTTATTCTTTTCTAAATAACACACCAAAAACACACAATTATCCTTGTTTTTATTTATTTGTTTGATTCCATAATCTCTGGCTTTGGCGTCCGTCAGGAACTGAATTTCAAAATAAAAATAACCGGAAACAGACGTAGGAGTGGTGAAGTCACGCCCACCTACTTCCGGTCCATGGGACCTTATTTCGGGGGGGGAAAAATGTATTGAAGTCAATGGAGAGAGAAAACTGATCTTTCGATCCCGTTTGAATTGTGCCATGAATTCTAAGCTCCAAAAGTTCTTAGCTCCAAAAGTGACTTTTCTTGTCATAGCTTTCCTACACTCTGGTAGCCTACTTCTACTTTGACCTAAGTACTGCTTTGACCTCTGGTACAAATTTCCCCCAAGTTACTGAAAGTGCCACAATCATAATTATATCTGAAGGTCATTTTAAACTCGATAATTGTGCAGATTGTGGGCCCATGCACTTGCAAGTGTATCCAGCAGGTGTCAGCAGAGACTCGCATTAATTTGGAGACAGAGGCTTGAATCTCAGGTCAGATCATCAGAACGCAACGCCGAGAGAAAGTAATACTGACCTTTGCTTGAAGTTGTTTAAATCTGTAGACAACCACGTTTACAATGAGAGACTTTATACACACAGGCGTCAAATACACATGGGTAGATGTTATTGATTGCTATACAGACTTATGTTGTTATTTACACAATCTGTGTCAAAGAGTCTGATATTTGATCTGTGAACAAAAACGTTATTTAAATTATCTTCATTAGAGGATTAAGGCTATTGTTTCACAGATTTTAATGTGTGATATAGTTGAGTGAAACATTTGAATTACACACATATTTTATTATCTTTTAAACCCTCTCCAAACCATCTGATTCAGATCCTGTTGCGTGGAGAAGTGAAATGTCTGTGCGTTTGTGTAGGCCCACTAAAATGTCAATAGGGCCTACTGCATAATGCCAAATACTTTTTATTGAAGACGCAGCAACATGTTCAGTCAATCCTCTGTAAAGTGAGCTACCAGACAAGCTTCCGCCCAAAATCACACTGAATTAACATTAAGTTCCCTTTAAAAAACATTTCACTGTTCTTTCCATGCCTATGCTGTCTGTTGCAGGCAGCAGACGATCACTTATCAGATCCAGCACTGGCGCTCACATTGACTTTAAATATTATATGAACTGGGAGTGTCCTGCAATTGATGCCATCCTAATTTATGGTGATGCAGTTCACATGTGGCGCAACAGAGAGCAGGGGAACATGGGAAAATGGCAATGTGGAAAGTTGCTCGCTATGTTTTAAGGATTCACTGAAGCCTTTGATAATTGTTTACCTGCTGTGTTATTCACCTGCTGTGTGTGGAAGTGTCATGCCCCACACCCCGCTATACTCTCTCTCTCTTTCTCTCTCTCTCCCTCCTCTCTATCTGCAGTGCATATCTGTGCGCAAATGTCTACGCACGTTTCATGGCTCCGAAAGACAAAGAAAAACAGTCATTAGTCTGTCGTGTAGCTCCACGTCCTTGTGATTAAGGCCCAATCTGCAGAGAAAAAGGCGTTTACGCATTTTAAGATTCTTTGCAGCAGCCTTAGCGGCTTTTTTAGATCCATATTGCGCCAATCACCGCGGTCATCAGGGGCGCACAGGTGGCTCTCCAAGGTGCCAACACATCTGTCTGCGCAGCTCAAACTAACTGGACATTTGGACACAACTGGACCACAAAAAACCCTCACAACAACCCTGGGCTTTGCTGAGCCCCTTCGCTCCGCGGTGTTTGATTAGTGTAGGGAGGATGGATTTGCATGCACAGTAGTGTTGGGAGGAGAGGAGGGACATGGGCGGGGCCGAGGCGCCTCTCATTTCCCCTCCATGCTTAGCGGGGCAGCAGGGCTGGAGAGACCTCCGGGGAGCACAGTCGCCAGTCCAGCACGGAGACCCGCCTGGCCAAAAGACCGCGCCTCACACTTGCCAGGATTGCCAAATATTCCTGAAAAATATACCTGCTATTTATGGCATGTGGCTTGTAACTTTACTCCTGCTGTATTCTCTCCAAGAAGGTAAGAGGGGAAAAAAGGAATGCTCGAAATATTTCAAATCGTGCGCACAAGGAGTGTTGGGAGTGTTTAAGTTGAATGAAAAGTGAAAATGAATGGAAAGCTTAATTGAATTGCGGTGTGTTGAATGATGTGTGTGGCTTGTGCTTTGATGTCGGAAGCCTTGTGCATGAGGAATTGATTTTAAAATGATTCTTTAAATCCAAATGTTTAAACTGCTGGTGCTGAACTACATTTTGAGAAATAGTTAAAATGCGTTGAAGTTATTTGTTTTACCTGGCTGTTTTGGTGTTTTTACGTAGCGGCCCTCAGATGGTGCTGATAGCACGGATTGTTTTCGCATTATACCAACTCCAGTTATGAATATGTAAATGGCTGAATAGGGAGAATGAGGTGCGAATTCAGAGGGAGGGTGAGAGGCAAATGAAAACATGTATCGGCCTGCAATTATAGCAATTGATTACCAATTTTAGAACAAATTCGCTCAAAATGTGCCAGTCCTGTAAAGTTTTGATGGGAATTCTTGAGATTGTGTTAACTGGATGCTCTCATTGTGTAGCCTTTGCTAATTGCAGCTGTTTTTCGTGGACTATATTTGGCACTAGCGCTCCATTGCACAGAGATGCTCTTGTTTTAGGATGACATTTATTTTAGGTTTTAAATATTTTTTCTCTGTGATAACAAATTATTGCCTTTTTTTAATTGGATGACTAATAAAAGCCCCCCCCCCCCCACAAAGGCCTTATAGTTTAATAGATGTTCTCACACATAAAGGCCATACTTGGTGCATTAAGATTGGTCCGCCTTATCAAATTAATTTGGACTACTCAGTTTCTTTTGTTTAATTTTCTATGCATATAAAAGGCATGCTATTTGTTTAAACAGATTCTTTCTTGCTCGGTGCATGCAGTAAATCCCTGACCCTACTGCAAAGTTGATCTTCTGCTATTACAGTGCATTATAATAATCCTGTACAAATCTGCGTCGAAAATAACAGAAATTCAACACCATCTCCACATGAGAGCATTTGCTTAGGCCTTTGTGTAGCCTGTTTGTTTGGATACATGTTTACATATTGTTTTGTCCTATAGGGTGTACAATAATTTAGCATAAAGTCTTGGTATGGAGGATTGGCTGGAAGGAGGCATATGGCTGTTAAAATGGGCCATTTTAAATCTTGGCATTTCCCCCATTTTATTTTATTTTTTAAATATCTGCTAATGAATTAGCAATTGGTCACATATGTGCTATGTTTTGTTGTCCATGTTGTGTTGTGTGTTCCTCAACTCGCTTAAATTCATTACAATTTCCTCAAAACAACTATTGCAATTATTCAACTTGAAAGATGTGGTTTCAGAGCTTTGCAGAATCATATTAATATGCGCAAATGTATTTCCCCAAATGAGAAACT